GCTATTCAAGTTTAAAAACAACTGTTTGGGGAAATACAGCATTCAAGAGCACATGAAATGCTGGGAAGAAAAACGTTCACATGTAAGACTGACATAGGATTAATATCCTTGATATGTAAAGAAATGAGTAGGGATATAGGAAAACGGTATCAACCTAGAATTCTTACTGAAAGCAGAAGTTATGCCCAACAAATCCATGAAAAGCTGTCTGACCATAATAACTCCAGAAACAACTGCAGACTTTCAGGTAATAAATGAGGAAAGACAGCTGAAGATTGCTGTTCTCAGAAAAATACACCGTGCATGTGTGTCCATATTGATATACTGTGTACAGGATGTGTATAAAAGTTATTACTTGTGAAAGTACATCACCATGTCAGGTAAAAATGTCTGGAGATGACTCACTTGTGAGAGGCAGGCATGTTCTTCTTTCCTTCAGGGTCCCGCTCTTTGGTATGTAAGATATCCTCAGAGTGGGGGAGATGGACAATCCTTTATATGAGGCAGGCCCTTCAGGGTCAGTTCTGGAAGGGGTCCACTGCAGACCCTCCCCTGAGGCCCAGGAGCAATGGGGAAGGAGGGCTCTGATCGAGGGGCAGCCCTGGTGCCCCTGGATGGGGAGGGAGCTGGTAAGGCCCAGCCCTTCAGTCCTGTACTTCCTGGGCAGCCCCCAGCCTGCTGCTGTCTGCAGCTGAGAGCCAGGAATGCTCTTGGTTAGAACCATCCTGGGCTCCTGAAGGGCCCAGCACAGGGCAGGTAGCCAGAGAGGGCCCAGTACTTCTCTGCCCACTTCACCCCTATTCTCTCTCTTCACCCCCCTGCATCCCCACCCTCGCTTGGGGCTCATTCCTAAATAGCGCTGTAATACTTGGCAGTTGAATCCTCACTCCTATCATTCACTCTTTGGACGGGTAGTAGGAATAATAATAATGACAACAAAATAAAAGACACCAACAATTATAGAGCACATAGTAGATAAAAATGCTTGCTCATGCAGTCAGTAAGTATTGGTTCCCAGGGTCAAATCCTGGTCCTTCAGACCCCAAAACTCCTAACCACTGTTTCTATAATGAGTGTTCTTCTGTATTAGGGCTGAGGCCAGCACAGGGGAAGGAACTCGCCCAGGTTTTCTGTGGTCGGTTGATGGGTCTAAAAGCTGAGACAAAGGTTTAAACTCCCATCTTCTGTCTAACTGGCCTCTTATTATTCTTTGCTGGTCTCTATTATTTCTTCTTTCTGGGGATCAATAAGAAACTGTTCCGCTCATGCCAAATGAGAAGGAAAATAAGGAGATGGGCAAGCACATGGAATAAAAGGAAATGATGAGACCAAAGTCCACTTTTTGTTACGTTTCTAGTTGTTCTCTGTCTCAAATCTTGTATTTTATGGGATAGAGGAGACAGAGTGAGCCACAAATTGCATATATTGGAGTCCTACCATGTGCCAGACATTCTTTCAGGTTTTCTCATTACAACAACTCTCTGAAGAAGAAACCAATAGTCCCATTTTACAAATGACCAAGCTCAGATTCATGGAAGGTATGTAAACTTTTCCAGGGTCAAACATCTACTCCTTGCTCTCTGCGCAGGACAACCAGCAACCTCCCCTTTAGAGGATGGGTTTCCATGGGTTGAGGACTGATGGTGGGAAATTCCCCTGATATGGAACCTGGGCTATGTCATGCCTCTGCTGGTGATCACTCAACAACCCCTCTTGGTGATGAAGATGACAGTGGAGATGAAATCCTGCCCTATGGGCCAAGAGGCCTGGGTGTGAGGGCCACATGAATTGGCTGATTCTTGAGGTGATGAACTGGATCCAGGAAGCAGCACAAGCTGTTGCCCTTTGGAAAGGGATCCTGAATGGGAGGATATTAACATTACTGAAAAATGCTCTCAGCTAGCTAGGCTACTACGCTCATGTCAAAAGCATGGCATTCACAGAACGAAGGACGTAAGGTGGAATGGGGAATTAACATTTGCTGAGGCCTACAGATGCCACGGTGCCCTGGTGCCATAGCAGTTAAGAGCCACAGCTGCTAACCACAAGGTCGGCAGTTCAAATCCACCAGCCGCTGCTTGGAAACCCTATGGGGCAGTTCTACTCTGTCATTATAGGGTCCCAATGAGTTTGAATCGACTTGACTGCAAAGGGTTTGGTTTTTGGTTCACAGATGCCACGTGCTGTGGGTTTTTATTTTCAGACTTTTTCTCTTCAAATCCTCAAAGCAGTGCTCTGGGGCAGGCATCATTACCTCTCTTAAGATGGGAATATAGGCTCAGAGAGCAAAGGGCACGCTCCAAGAACTCTGGGGAAGTTTCAAATGGACACAGAGGCCAATTTAAAGGGGCTTCCACTGGCCACTTTGGGGACAAAATGAGCATCAAAATAAATGATAGTAACAGTTGGTAAACTTTACTGCTATAAACCAATACATGAATGAATGAATAAATAAGGGAAAAGGGAAAGTTCTATCCTACAGTTAAATGCTGACTAATAAATCTAGAAGGAATGAGTGGTGTCTGGGGTCTTAAAAGCTTGCAAGCTGCCATCTAAGATGCATCAGTGGGTCCCAACCACCTGGAGTAAAGGAGAATGAAGAAGACCAAAGACACAAGGAAACTATTATCCCAAGAGACAGAAAGGGCCACATAAACCACACAATATCAGCCTGAAACCAGAAGGACTAGATGGTGGCTGGCTACCACCAATGACGGCTCTGACAGGGAACACAACAGAGAGTCCCTGAGAGAGCAGGAGAAAAGTGGGGTGCAGAA